ACTAATCATCTGTATTTTTCCTATACACATGACAATTTATGCCTCTACTGTTGGCAGGTATCAAATTTGTCAAAAATAGGGACATGTCTTGTATAAAACTGGGACAAATCAATGGTTTTGGATAAATCTGCAGGGACTGGGTACACAGGACTCAAAATTAGGACTGTCCCAGGTAAATAGGGACATTTTTTTTTTTTTTTTTAAGCATAACTGCAACATTTTGACCACCTTTCACCATATATATTTATTAATTGATAATTGCCCATAGATAGGCTACTTTACGACAATATTAGGTGGTCGCAGCAAGGAGATGAGGGGTAAATTCAATAGTACAATCTATTTGACCTGGTTCATTTATATAGAAACTGTCCATTTAGCTCCATAACTATATTATGTCATATGCGATGTCTATGACCCAACCTGGGGTACAGGGCCTCCTAGGGGCCTATAAGCACTTTCCAATGGGTACTTGGAAAGGTTTAAAAGAAGTTGAAGTTAAATGGCATAATAAAAAAAAAAAAAAACTACTTAAGAATCATTTATGAGGATTCTACACGCCAATATCATTTAAACAAGAATGAAAAATATGAATATATTAGTGGTAAACATATTTTTTTGCTTGTTACTGGAGTTAGGGGGTTACTTGGATTGTGAGACAAATCTTAGTGGGTACTTGAGACAAAAAAAGGTTGGAAAACACTGGCATAATACTTACATTAGATTACATTAATTATATTTTATTGATTTATTTACAATAGTGGCAAAAACAACATTCATTCGCACACATTAAACCTGCAAAAACGCATTTAAGAGCAGCAGGAACAAAAGTCTTTCTGAAATGCTCAGATTTGCACTTTGTTGCCATCTGTCTGTGATTGAATGTACTGCTACTACTTTGCTATATGCAGTGGTGGAACATAATTTACATAACAAAACAAAAGTAGTTAAATACTGAACTTACTAAGTATCAATTTGAGTACATATGTACTAATACTTTACTTCAGTACATCTTAAAGTGGATACTTTTTACTTTTACTTAACTACATTTGAGAACAGCTATCTGTACTTTCTATTACTCTACATTTTGAACTGCACTGAAAAGTAAAAGTAAAGTAAAGTAAAGTAAAGTATTTTTTACTATTTTCCGAAACCTGTTAAAAGGACTGGGGGTGTTACACATTTTTTATTTTTTTTTAAATCAAAATCTTTATTAAAATCACTGCATTTTAAGTTTTATTAGATCTTAAAATATGCATGAAATACTACTCTGCGAACATTTTTAATGGGTACTTTAATACTTTTACTCAAGTAGTAAAAGTAGTAGTAGATGTGATATTTAACTTTTACTTAAGAATTCTTTTGCTCTGGTATTTAAACTTTTAGTTAAGTAACAAAATTGAGTACTTCCACCGCTGGCTATAGGTTGACTCATAAAGTATATGTGTACATACTCTTTTCTACACAGGCACGATGGCAGGAGAGGACAAGCCCCCAACCAAAACACGACAGAGGAAAAAGGGAAAGAAGTCCCGCTCTAAAGAGAAGAGTCCTGGTAGCAGTCCCAGTGCCCACCTCCAGGATGACGACGACTTCCTGGTTCCCCCAGCTCCACAGCCTCCTCCCCAGAAGAAGAAACAGGAGGAGAAGCCCAAAGTGGCAGTGGCCAAAGTGGCGGAGGAGTCGTCCATAGCCATCTGTCTGCAGGTTCTGTTCCCCTACCTGTTAGCCGGGATGGGGATGGTGATGGCTGGTATGGTGCTGGACATGGTGCAGGTGAGTGGAGGTGCCTCTACACAACCCCTTTGTATATCTCTTGTAGTACTATTTGGCAAAGGCATAAGGTTACTGTAGTACATAGACATATGCATTATCTCTCAATCCAATAGGGAACTCCATATATGACTTAAAATACCATTAAAATTACAGTGTGACTTATTTGTACAAGCTATATGATTATTTAAAGAGAGATATTTTAGTGTAATCGACCGCCTGTCCCTTGTCACTTAGAGAATGCTCCACCTTTTATTGATTCTACATAAATAGTAAAAAAAAAAGTTACATTTACATAAAAATCTATCATTTTCTGGTGTACTGGAACCTTCTAACTGATCAAAACAAAAAAATTATGTGTTATTGCAATTTTTATCAACATGAAAAGGATCTGGCTGTGTAACAGAAACAGAAACATGTGGAAACTATTAGTAACTTCCTCAGATGCATTGTTTTTATCAACCCACTTTCTTACATTTGTCTCACATTTGCATTTATAAATTATTGTGTAGGTATGTTGGTAATGTTGGGGTACTATTTTGCAGTTTTATATTTTCATTACTCTCCAGGACATTATAAAGGCTATAAACATTTATTTTGTAAAGCATTACATTACATTGGTCACTGTCAAATTACTTCACACTAAAGGCCACCACACACTACTGGAGAATTTGCTCGATTTAGGCTGTGATTTTCTTCTCCCCGAGTTCAGGGAGGCGTGACCCGACTTTGTGTCTTCGTCTGCGATTTTGAAGTCACTGCGCTCCTCCTGTATGTGGTGTCAGTGTGACTCTGAGCTACTCTGTCAGACCGTAACCACAAAACATCAGCAATGTTACAGTAACAGCCAATAAAACACAGTGTCAGGGGCAGAGGAGTGACGGACACAGAGACGCAAGATACAGAAGCAGCATCCCATCCATATTGTCCATAGAATTTGTCCTCCACAAGTAATGACCCTAGTCCACAAAACAGCTTTTAATCCAGTTTGAAGTGTTCTTTAAAGGTAAAAACACGAGAGTAGATCCTCATGTGTGTCTGTTTACATCATTGCAGGGCGCGTATTGGGGTGAAGTTGCAGATTAGCGATCAAGACTATTTCCTGTGTACTTTATTGCCAGTTTTGACTTGCATGTAAACTAAAAGTGCACTGCTCTGATCTTTTTGAGTCTCAAAGCGAGTGGTTTTACTCCAGACAGGAAACTGCAGACATGAGGTATGCTTACAACTTTATAGTCTGTGGTACGCAGCCATATCCCATAGCAATCTTTGCAATCGCAGATTTTAAATCTCATAAGATTCTCCTCATGGCTGTTGTGTGCACTTTTTGTCACATTTAAAAATTGTTTAAGACTGAAAAATCCTGTAGAGTGTGATGGCATTAAGGCTGTGCATTTAATAGGCCAAACAGGGCAATCAAGGTCATTTCTGATGCCACACTGTATCTTTTTCGTAACTAGCTTTGACTAAATCTTAGCTATTTCATATTTCGTAAGTTGCAAGTAAACCTTTCAGATCGTCCATTGTGCACTTTCTTAGAGACTGAGACTCATGGACATTCTAGGCACAACTAAATGTAATTCTATTATGTGCGTGTTTCTTCTGTTCTGGTTTCCAAAGCTGAATTGCGTGTATTGTGCAAAATGCATTTGACTCTGAACCTCTCTTGATATCTTTAATTCCCCCTGTCTGTTGCTGATCAATTTCATAGCGTAACACTTATTTCCTCTCTCCATCTGCTGCTTATCAGTATGTCTTCCACTCTTCATTGCCTCTGTCAGGAGCTGCGAGAACAATTAGTCAGGAGGTTGGCTCATAGCCTTGTCCAGAACTACAGCGGACAGTGAAGGACATAGAAAAGGTGGCCTAGTTTGTTTCAAATTGGCTAGGAGAAAAACACAGGAGAATGTTATTGCATGATGCAGATGTAATGGTGGAGTTGTAGTGCAGGTTTTTAGATGTCATATGTCAAAAATTCTTAAGCCCTTGGTGGAATATAGTTGGTAGAAAACTTGTACACAGTCATATAACTTTATGTACTTGTTACTGAGAACATGAAACCCTCACCAATATTAAACAATTTACTGGCAGTAGATTTTTAGTGCAAATGTTTATGATGAGGTTTTACTGCTCTATGACTATACTGTCTTTCCTAGAGCTTTGTGATGGGGTTTATGTTTACTGCTGAGTCATTTCTCTCAGATATCTACCAGGCAAAGAGCTTGTGGTGAGTGAGTCAGTTAGCAAGGGACCTCCTTTTATGACTAGATTTTTGCTTTTGGGCTGACATTTGGGGTGAAGGGCCATATATGATGTCAGTTGCTGTCAGTCTTTAAAGGTGCACTATGTAACCTTTCTTGTGTAAGGTCTGTCTCCTGCTTGTCTCCATGGAGATCATGTCATTGCCACAGTATGGCATTAAAAATATCTTTCATGCATTAATTATGTGTTTTTACTGTTCAAAGATCCCTTGATAAACAGTCATTCTAACTGTGAGTGGGCTCAATTCTCCACTGATCTGACCCGTAACTTGGTCTCATGGTGTCACCTGCTTGCCATGTAGATGGATAAGCTTAATGCCATACTGTGGAACATGCCAGCAAAGCAATAACAGCTCAATGTAGACAGATCAGTTTACAGACCTTGCTAAGTCATACATAGTGCACCTTTAAATATCAGTATGTATAAGGTTGTTTTATTTTATTCAAAAACAGAACTGACCTTTTCTAAGAGCTTATTAGACGTCCTGTGATTAAACTCTAAAACATCAGGCTGAACGGGGGAAGTGATGGAAATCATGAACGAGTGAGTCACGACCAGGAGGAGGAGAGAGAGAGAGTAAATGACCAATCACAACGAACGACACAAGAGGAAGGAGTCAAATCTGGGATGAGAGGAAACGCGCAGCATGAGATAGAAATGATGTTAGTGGACGGCAAAGGACCGGCTGTTCCGCTCCAGAGTGTGCACGTCTGAAGGAGGAGACAGCCTCTTTCTCTGCTACGTCACTACAGACCGAGCATGATGCCGCTGAAGCTGAGGGAGCTGATATGCACTCACCACACACTCTGCCGATAAGAAGCAAGAGGAGAGATTTTCTACTGCTACAAGATTGTTCTGAAAAGGATTTATTAACAGGCGAAAAAAAAACTGCACTGTCGTTTTTTTTTTTAAAGCTACTTTGAGTAAATACGATGTGCCAAGGTACTTAAAAAAAGTAGAGTGATTTACAACCCAAGGCGAAAGTCAAGAAAGGAGGATGTCAACAATCATAAAGTGTCAACTATCTTTATATTAACTTTCATTTTTCCAATTGGACTTCAGTCGACTCAAAGTTAAATCAGATTGGACTGCAAATCTGAATCGACAAGGCTTATGTGGAATGTCGTGACCTACAATTGCAAAAGGAAGTTAATAACTGTGTTACCCAGTGGTGCTGACAAATGAAGACATCATCAATGCTGACTCACCACAGGATTAACAGGTGCCACGCTACTGTTGGCTCCAATTGACAGCAAACTTTCTCATCCTTTGAAGACTATTTTCAGTATTAAATCCTGGCGTTGCTGGCAGGATTATCCGGCTATCTCAATTTACTAAATCTGGGTCATTCAACATTTTCACGGATTTTCAACATGAGACTTTATTCGATGTTGTCTGGACATAGATAAGTGATACAATGGTGGTAACGCGTTTGGAGTTGGAGTTACGGTACCAGGGGGAGAAGCTGAGAGGCGTCACATGGAAGTTGACTCGATCAGAGTATGGGTTCCTTCCAGAGAGTCCCTGGCTGATCGCGGCACAGGTCACGGTGCCCCTGCTGGTGTCTGGGCTTGGGATGGTCTCTGCTGGAATCGTCATGGATCTTATACAAGTATGAGAATGGTTGAAACAACAAGGAATATAATAGTTGCCTAAATTTTGAAATCATTTGAAATATTTACCTATAATAACAGAGCAAACTTAAGGTGCACTATGTAACTTTTTGGTTGAGGGTCTGTCACCTGCTTGTTTCTGTGGATATGTCATTGCTCTACCTAGAATGGTCCACAGTATAACATTAAACAACTCTACCTCACATGTATTCAGTTATAATTCAATTTAAAAATACCTAGAAAAACAGGCATTCCGACTGTAAGCATGGTTGCCTCTCCACAGATCTGACCTGTAACTTGGTCTGGTTTGGTCAATACAATGTAGTTTTAGCGTTTAACTTTTTGGTTCTTATCTGGCTTAATAGTCAGAACAGGACTTGAGGTTTAGCACATCAAAACAATTTCTATTTGGTTTCATGAAATGAATAATTAGATATGTTATTTTATTACAACTTACTTAATCTTTTACATTAGATGAAACCACATCAAATGTCTTCTTAGTTCAGGTTTTAACGGCACTTAAGGGTCATTTACTTACTTTATGGGTTTCCTCATTAGTTGCTCATCTACACTGCTTGCCAAGATTGAGTTTATTGAACGAGTTATTGGTAGTGGAGGATACTAGAGTCTTCTATACAGTCTTATCCCTGTGGTGCTATTGTGTTCATACCCTGAGTCAGAGCTTTTCTGTTTAATGCACCTTTTTAACGCTTTCGCATTTTCTTAGACACTTTCCCCCACCCACTTCTCTTATTTGTTAGCCTCTGTGGGAGTCTGAGTGAGTGGCAGGTGGGTTTAACCAATCACAGTGAAGAGTAAACTTTCAGGAACAGAAGGTGGCTTAGAGATACTTGCAGGGAATATAAAGATATTTGGGTACCATGATCAAAAAATAAAAAATTTGGTATATTGCTGAGACGTCTAACGTCTGAGAATGTAAATGGCCCATATTACTTTATTTTCTGATCTATGTTATAATGTTGTTTCCTAATCACAATCATACCTGGACTTGTGTTTTGTTTCATTCACACACAAACCCTGCATATTTAGGCTGAATTCTCCTCTCAAATAAAAAACATTGTTCCACCTTATGATGTCATGTGGTAGTACAGGATGTGCTCCACTTTGTTTTTAAAACTCCATACACCTTCACTGGAATCATGTGGATGATTTCAGTCCTGGAATTCCCAGTCTACTGAACAAAAGGTAAAAGGTAGTAGGTAATTTGAAAACTACCACTTCATGACATCACAAGGTGGAACAGAGCATTTTGGGCTTTGGATCAATGCAGGATTACTCAAACATGTGTGAATGAAACAAAACACAACTCCAGGTATGTTTTTGATGAGGTAACTGCTAGGGATGTAGCGATATTCAAATCCCTCGATATGGTATTTTCACGATATACATTCCCTGATATGATATTTATTGTGATATTTTGTAGATGCTAAGAAAATAGTGAAATGCAACTTTTTCCTTTTAAAATGCCTTCACAAGACTTTTGTTCTATCATAAACCAAAGAATTAAGATTTAAATTTGCTTAAAAATTATGATTCTGTTTATTATTTTTATTAATTTTCATGTAGTCTGCACTGTAATGTAGCAGAAGATCATGGTATATGTAGTTCACTCAGTTTTTGCTGCACCAAAACAATGTTTTTAAGGAAAGAGACATATTGATATATTGTTTTGGCCCACGGTATTATTGTGAGACTTTTGACAACACGATATCACGATATTTCAGTTATTGTTACATCCCTAGTAACTGCATTATAACACAGCTTAAAGCTCGCATAATAAGGGACCTTTAACATGATTTATTTGTTTTTATAAACCTAAGAGCTTTCTCCTGTGTTACCTATCTGGTTGCACAATGAATAAGCACAAAAACAGCTAACCAAGTTATTTGCAACATTGATATTCTTTGCTGTCGAATGAGTTTGAAATGCAATGCAAATGGATGTCCGCTAATGTGGTTACTATTAGCATACTACGATGATGGTGCAGTTATATTGTGCTGAGTGCAATGGATAAAGTATCTTTCCCTGTTCAACAGATGGGGCCCACGTCTTCAATTTCCAAATCACATTAGACGTATCAGATTGAGCTTAATGTAATGAGGTCTGCTGGATGAAAAATATGTTATATAGAAGAAAGGGCTGTAGTCTGGATCATATCTCATTCATTTGCATTGAGGTAGCATTTGGAGGAATATCGTACAGTCAGCACAGTCCTCCTTATGCTCAGTGGTGGAAGAAGTACTCAGTTTTGTTACTTAGTAAAAAGGTACAAGAGCAAAGAAATACTCAAGTAAAAGTATCACATGAAAAAAATCTACTCAAGTAAAGTGCTTGTTAAAAATTGTACTTGAAGAGTAAAAATTAAAAGTATTTTTGCGCATATTTTGAGATCTAAAAAAGCTTCAAACGTAGGGATTTGGATAAAATCTTGGAATTTTGCTTCAACAGAAACGATTAACTCCTCCTGTGTGGAGGAGTTCAAGTATCTTGAGGTCTTGTTCACAAGTGAGGGGAGGACGGAGCGTGAGATTGGAGGTGGATCGGTGCAGCGTCGGCAGTGATGCAGTCGCTGTATTGGACCATCGTGGTGAAGAGGGAGCTGAGTCAAAAGGCAAAGCTCTCAATTCACCGGTCAGTCTTCCTTCCTATCCTCACCTATGGTCATGAGCTCTGGGTAATGACTGAAAGGACGAAATCTCAGATACAAGCGCTCGAAATGAGTTTCCTCCACAGGGTGGCTCCTCGCTCCCTTAGAGATAGGGTGAGTCACACAGTCACACGGGAGGAGCTCGGAGTAGAACCGCTGCTCCTCCACGTCGAGAGGAACCAGTTGAGGTGGCTCGGGCATCTGTTCCGGATGCCTCCTGGGCGCCTCCCTCGGGAGGTGTTTCGGGCATGTCCCACCAGGAGGAGGCCCCGGGGAAGACCCAGGACACGCTGGAGGAACTATGTCTCTCGGCTGGCCTGGGAACGCCTCGGGGTCCCCCCGGAGGAGCTGGAGGACGTGTCTGGGGTGAAGGAAGTCTGGGACTCCCTGCTTAGACTGCTGTCCCCGCAACCTGGCCCCGGATACTGTCTCAAACAGTAATAAAAGTCTACTAACTTTTCAATCCTGTTAAAAATTTAGTGGAGTAAAAAGTACAGATATCTGCTCTCCAATGTAGTGAAGTTAAAGCAAAAAGTACCCACTTAAACATGCACTTAAGTAAAGTACAAATACCCTCTACTTTAACTTTGTTACGGCCGAACACTGCTTACACCAGACCTCTTAAAATCTTTTGCTTTCATCCTATTCCTCATATACCTTGAGCTCTCGGTCGGTGGTTCTTGGCTAGTGGCCCATCTCCTTTTGGCAGCAGTCGCACAGAAGTGGGCCATGTCCCAAGATAGCCTCGTAATATGACAGCAATCAGCCAGACCCACAGTCCAGAGCCCAGGGTAAAAATAGACTGACAGTGAAGTCCGTAACTGACGAAGATAAGTGAAATCAAACAACTTATGATTTTCTGTTACGTGACACATCAGTTCAAGTGCTGACCCATAAAACAGACTAAAATAAGGTAAATTGCTACTGCTATTGCAATATTCAGACATTTAACTCTCTTTTCTTAACACAATGTCAAAGGATAACCAGATATTTCCATTCAAAATTGTCTTTAGAGCAACTGCTGGGTTTAAGATGGCATTGCGTCCTCTAATCCGATAATATTTAATATAGCCAGAGGGGTTCCCCTGAAATTAATATTGTTAAAATGTATGTTTTTGTTGTAATATAGTGAGGTCTCAGGTTCACAGCAGGCTCAATGATTTTAAATTAATCTTTTTCAGTGGAAAGTAGACAATGTGGACAATGCATTTTACTACTGTGTATGGGGCCCCTTTTATTAGCTAAAGTAACTTCTAAAAAAAAAGAAAAAATCATAGAAAGTGAATTGTTTTCAAATATTTTGGAAATAAATAAATAAGTAAATAAGTAGGGAAAATATGCTATTGACTTGACATTCTATAGAATCTGAAAACCTCCAATAGGGGAACATGGCTACGTAATTGTCCTATAATCACAAAGTTTACTGTCAAATTCTTACTTAATATTGTTAGTTACTTCATCAAAGTAATGTTGATGTGGATACAGAAGTGGTTTTCCAACATAACCAAGCATAAACATCATAATTTGCGATGAGAGCATGCTAATATTAATAAAATGTCTCCACCGCCTTTTGGTAAGTATCCAGTAACTAACAGGTACATATCTCCACTTGCCAAATGTACCATACTGTCCTCAACAGACCCACATTCTCAATCCATTATTTATCTCTTCCCAATGTGAGTTTATTTCAGGGAACAGGCTAAAAAGGCTATAGAAATGCAAAGTGTGTTTCTTGGCAGACCTATTCAATACCCTCTGTCTTTTTTGTCTAATTTCAAAGTTCGATTCATCCACCTTCCTCATACAAATCATCACATCCGACTTGATGAATATTTCAGTTAAGCCATTTTCTTCTCGTCTTATTCTCATGCCCCTTATCAAGTTTGTTCTAACAGCTCTCTTATTTTAAAAGTGCTGGAGTCTGTGACAGTGGTTCAAACTCGCTGAACCTGCCCGATGTGAGGTTGCGTGAGGCAATGCTCGGAGATGTGGAAACGAGGCTACTGGGTTAGACTAGAATATGTGATGTGTCAGTTAAAGTGCTATGTCAAAGAGTTCATATGTACTGCCTGAACCCTGATTCATGCCCTGTTTTTTCCTTAGTTTAAATGGATGTTTCTTTTGTGTGTTGCAGCATTGGGAGGTATTCAAGGTGATCACTGAAGTGTTTATTCTGGTACCAGCTCTGGTGGGGCTCAAGGGAAACTTGGAGATGACCCTGGCTGCTCGCCTCTCCACTGCTGTAAGGAAAAATGCCACTACTTCAACACTCTTTCTATCATTACATAAATCTACATGTTATGTGATGACAGCGCTAGTTTCGCCCAGTTCTACTCTTGGTTTAGTCCTGGTTGTGTCCAAGTTTATAGTTTAATCCAAATTTCAAAGGAACTGTATGTAAGCTGCACTTTAACTGATTTTTCTTTACTACAGTCAAAATTACTACAGTTGTCAGTGCCTAAACCTGCATAAGATATACACGTTTTTGTCATTCTCAGTCTGTGGACAGGTCATGCCTCATGTTAAAACTCAAAACCTCCAGAATTCCCTCACTGAGCTGCAGAGGCTGCACTAGCACTGATGAATGACTGGCTACAAATGCTGGGGTTTAGGTAGTGACAATTCAGATCAGAGAGAGTCCTTTTATAGTACAGTAAAATTTAAATAAACAGGACATTGTGTCTAATTTTTTTTGTAATAAATAAGCATTATAATTGTTTTTAGTAAAAGCATATATGATTTTAACATGTATTACGTGTATCTGGTACATCAACTTTATAAAATTTCAAATCTAAATCTTACATACAGTTCCTTTAATGTGGTATTTATGAAAAGTTCTATTTTATATCATTTACTAAAACGTTTGCTCATTTGCTTATTGGCTGATTACAGAGTACCAGGTACACACTCCACTGTACAGTATTTTTTGTATTATATTAGGGAACATGATTAAACATGATGGTGTTGTTGAGGTGGTCTGGTGCTCTGCCTCCTGTTGTTGATGAATGAGTGCTTTTATTTTGTTGACAGGCAAACACAGGTCAAATGGATGATCCAGACAAGCAGTGGCTAATGGTGTACAGCAATCTGGCTCTTATACAGGTAGCATTAAAGTCATGTGTACTGGTCTGGTGTCTGTTTTTATACCAACACAGATTTCATTGAGCGCGTGTGTTCCTCTGTCTCCAGGTCCAGGCTACGGTGGTGGGTTTCCTGGCTGCTGTCGCTGCCATTTGTTTAGGAGCCATTTCCAGAGGAGGAGTGGAGCTGGACCAAGCAGCTGTCCTGTGCGCCAGCAGCATCACCACTGCATTTGTAGCAGCTCTCTCCTTAGGTCTGACAGTTGTTTTCAAAGCTTAGAATAGTTCTCCTTCAATGTTTTTATCTTGCAATGTCAAACTGGGAGTGCAGTGGCCCCATCTAGTGGTTACAGATCAAGTTAAACAACGGTACATAGTAAATAAAACAATAAACAGAACACATTTGATACTTTAAATTAATACAAATGGTTAAACAATAGAAAATCATAAACTATGAAATGAATAAAATACAGAGAGGAACTGGTACTCCCTGGTTTTAAGTCTTGTCTTAGGCACCACAGGCTGGAGTAAAATTAAAGAGTTAAATTCATGTGTTTGGATTTGTTCTCGTAGGTCTGGTGATGATTGGAGTAATCATCGGTTCCAAGAAGGTGGGCATCAACCCCGACAATGTGGCCACGCCCATCGCTGCCAGTCTGGGCGACCTCATCACTCTGTCCCTGCTGGCCGGGGTCAGCAGCACGCTCTATGAATATATTGGTGAGTGTTGTTAACATGTAGCCCGCTAGCAGTGTCTTTAAACAGTGATTTGTTCTTTCGTTTTTTCTTCCGGCAAGAGATTACGAGAGAGGGGAAGTGAGAGAGGAGGGAAAAAAAAAGTTTGTACTGTTTCTCTGTCACCTGCTGTATGTACACAAAAAAATAAACTAGGTCATAAAGTTGTAATAAAAAACTAACAAAAAATGTGATTGTCTTTGAACTTGAAAATTCCCATGTCAGTAAATATATGTTTTTTCTTCTAAAAAATTGAATTCCCAAATTTGGTACAAATCCGACAATGTTGACTATTCATGTTATGGTAGGGGGCGCTATAATGTTCACTTTTCATATGTTTTATAGTGTATTATATTCAGACTGAGATCACACATTAGTGATTCAAATTTCAACACGATCGGACTAAATCTGTGCGAACAGGAGCAAATAATGTCACCTTGAAATTAGGCAAAATTTTTATCGAAATTTGTGGCTTCGCCGCGCGTAAACCGTGACAGTTATCAAAAAAAATCAGCTAACTTTAGATGTTCCACTTCTCTGGATGATGTACGGTGATTTTCAGCCCTGTGGGTGAAGCGCCTTCAGAGGAGTTCGTTCAAATGCAACGTCAGCGAAAAGCGGACTGAAATTTCAATCCAAGATGGCCGCCTTCTGGTTTGTCAGGGGGCGTGGCCATAAAAACATTTTTTGTTTGTCTTCACATGATGAATGTGTGTACCGAATTTCATGGCTCTACGACAAAGTTGACCGGGACGTCTCCCATAGGCGCAAAATTGTTGAGTCTTTGCGCCCTGCTGGCCAACAGTGAAATTTTAACATGGCCATAATATACTTTTTTACTCGTAATCATATATAGAATTTAATTGCCAAATTTGGTGCAGATCCGACAATGTTGACATTTCATGTATACGGTAGGGGGCGCTATAGTGTTCACGTTTCATATGTTTTATAGTGTATTATATTCAGACTGAGATCACACATTAGTGATTCAAATTTCAGCACGATCGGACTAAGTCTGTGCGAACAGGAGCAAATAATGTCACCTTGAAATTAGGCAAAATTTCGACCAAATTTTGCGGCTTCGCCGCACGTAAACCGTGACAGTTATCAAAAAAAATCAGCTAACTTTAGATGTTCCACTTGTCTAGATGATGTACGGTGATTTTCAGCCCTGTGGGTGAAGCGTCTTCAGAGGAGTTCGTTCAAACGCAACGTCAGCGAAAATGCAGACTCAAACTTCAATCCAAGATGGCCGCCTTCTGGTTTGTCAGGGGGCGTGGCCATAATAACATTTTTTGCTTGTCTTCACATGATGAATGTGTGTACCGAATTTCATAGCTCTACGACAAAGTTGACGTCGGGACGTCTCCCATAGGCGCAATGTATTTTGACTTTTCGAGGTGGCGCTGTGTCGCCATTTTTTTATGCCCGTGCACGAAACCTATATTTTATCGAATTTTTCGCCACTTCTGAATTTTGGGCAAAGTTTGGTGAGTTTTTGAACGTGTTTAGGGGGTCAAATTAGGGTTTAAAGAGCAGAAGAATAATAATAATAAAATAATAATAATAATTCGAGCAAAAACAATATATCCGAAAACTTTAGAACAACATATTATACATTTTTTGAAAGCTCTCGACCTTCCCCACGTCACCGTGGGGTCATTGGTGAGTGACGGGCGCGTCTGGACCATCTCGCTGGGGTCACCCTCTGACCTCCCATTGACTTCCATTCATTTTAGCAGTAGTAAATATGAGCCAGGCCTTGGACGTGGGTGACTGGGATACTGCTGTTCGTGCCGGGGGCGACCGTGGACATAGTTGCATGTCGTCTTGTCGCATTCGGACATGCGCACGTCCCTTCCCATTTGCTCCGCTGAGCGGAAGCAATAGGCCCTACGCCCTGTCGGGGCTCGGGCCTAACTAACAAAAAATGTGATTGTCTTTGAAAAAATTCAAAACCTCAACCAAATGAACATTTTATTTATTTGTTTTTAATTACTTTTTGACTCTTATGCAAACATATCAAATATTAGATGGAAAGAATATTATTAAGAAGCCCTCAAAAATGCCCACTAGAAGCTAAAATGAACTAAACATTTTCTTAGACTTACATTCTTGTTATTTTTACTTGCTGTCACACAAACTAATCATTACATATAGTGATATTTCCTCTCCATGTTGCTCCTCAGATGTGTGGTACCTCTCTCCGCTGGTGTGTCTGGTGTTCCTGGCCCTGATCCCTGTGTGGGTGCTGGTGGCCCGTCAGAGTCCTCAAATCAGAGAGGTGCTGAAGTCTGGGTGGCAGCCTGTTTTAGTAGCCATGTCTATTAGCAGGTCAGTGAAAAAAAATTTAATCAGTGATTAAAAAAAATATATTACACGATTATACGTAAATATGTGCATAGTGTGTATTAAATGGCCCATATTACACTGATCTATGTTATAATGTTGTTGTTTCTATATCAAAATATACCTGGAGTTGTTTCATTCACACATGTTCAACACACAAACTCTGCATATGTGAGTTTTTCTCTCAAACAGAAAACACTTTATTCCTCCTTGTGATGTCATGTGGTAATTCAGGAAGTGCTCCACTGTGGTTTTAAACTACATACACCTTCACTAGAGTCATTTGGATAATTTGAGTCCTGGAACTGCCAATCTCTGCTGAACAAAAGCTAAAAGACAGCTGCATAACATCAAAAGTTGGAACAGACTATTAATAAAGGATTACTCAAACATGTATGAACGAAACAAAACACAACTCTGGTTTGAAGCTCACAAGAACCAATTTAGCGTAATATGGGACCTTTAATCAAAAGCTAGCTTGCAAAATGTCTTGCAGTGTCATCAAAAAGTGTACAATATGCGTCTCTACACAGTTTTGGAGGCCTTATACTTGACAAGACTGTCAGCGATCCAAACTTTGAGGGAATGGCTGTCTTCACACCGGTTATAAACGGTAAGAAAAATATTAAGCTCAAAGTGAGACTGACATTTTGGCTGATGAAATGGTTCAGCTATTATCGAACCGTCCATCTTTGTACAAATCTGAAATGGAGTGTTGGAAGTGGATGGAGTTATAGGCCAGTCAATATTGCCCCCAAGTGGACATAGTGTGTTACTGTCATTTTATTAGGGAATTTTCTTGGAAATTGAATTAAAGTTTTTTGTGCATGTCCTTTGCAAAACATGATTCTTAAAGCAAATTTTAATTTAGTTAATACACTTTTTGTCTCAAACTTTAAAGGTGCATTGTGTAACTTTTCTTGTGCAGGAGCCGTCAAATGCTTTTCTTCATGGAGATGTTATTGCTTTGTCTGGAATCTTTATAGTATAGTATAAAACATTTCTATATTTATGGAGACCAAACCAGATTAAGTTACAAGTCAGATCTGTGGAGAGGCGACCCCGCTCACAGTCAGAATCCCTGTTTTTCTGTGTATTTTTGAGCAGTAAAATCACCTATAATTGAATATATGTAAGGTAGAGCTTTTAATGTGTTACTGTGGAACATTCCAGGCAAAGCAATGACACAATGTGTATACTGTGTATACTAATGTATACTCTGCAGTCAAGGCTAAGGAGGAGAGAGTATGGAGGAAACATACTGTATCTGTTACACTCTTTCATTTTTGGTAGATGACTCTGCACTATCTGTTTATCATGGCTCTGATCTGGTCCAATAGGGAACCAGAAAACTAATTACAGAATACCACAGCATTACAGAATCATGGACATTTCAGAATTAATTAGTTGTTCCAAACCAAAAAGCAAGTTGTCCATTCTACTTAAGTTTCTTTTATATTCTTAACCAGCATAAGATATATTAGATGATTGTTATGCAGTAGAAGTTTAAGAGCAATGATTAAGACTTAGTGTGGATTTTCTGAGTTTATTTGTCAAATGTAACACAAGATGGAACATCTGCTACAACGTTAAAACCTTGAACCGAAATATGCTATTTGAAGCAAATGGACTAAAAACTGTCTCGGCTAGGTTAGTAAATGAACCTTGAAACGTAGCATTTTCAGAAGCAGTTGGAGCTATTTCAGACTGCACTCCTGTGGGTAAAACTCCCATTAAATCCCTGTGTGGAAAAAAACTGTACAGCTAACTTTTTAATTTCACTGTGCCAGCTGAGTCTTAAAGTTGAGACACCATCTTGAAATTGAATAAACCACCAGATTTAATGTTCATAAAGAACTCATTTCTGTTAAATAATCCTGGATTACTCAAAATCACAAATACAGTATTGACAAAATCCATTGAGACATGTTAAGAAAAGTTGTGTGGCTGTGAGATGGTGCGTGCAGGCCTAGGAGCGCTGGAAAACTGGAGATAAACCACTAATGGTGCTGCCCAGAGCCTTGGCGTCTGACGTGCCCGTAATAGGCAGACTCTCACCGTCACCACTGTGCGTTTAGTCTGTGCCCATCTGGACCTGTCCTGCAGCAATGCCCAAATCTCCCATGCTCTCCTCTCCATTCACCAATCTGCTTTAAATTTCCCCCTTCTCCTCCAAGTGTTTTTCAGCTCACAAAAGAACCGTGTGTGCTGTTTTGGCACAAATAAAGGGATATGTGTTTGTATTTAAATGAAGCACAGATATTTCTTTCAACAGTGCAGTAAGTTTGGTCTGTAGTGACTGTGGTTCTGTATGCACTGGTTGTGTTTTATAAGGAATTAGGAAAGTTGTGGCTGGAGCATTAGGCGTCATTATGATATGTTCCAAGTTGTTCTTTGGACACTGGATGTTCGGCACAATCTGGAAATTCAAATAAATATCACCAATTTAGGTACTTTTATACTGTCCATGTACCGAGGAGGCAGATACGTAGCCTGATTCATCAGCCGGTTTCACTTCATTTCACTTAGTTCAAACCACCTGACCTCACACTGTTAGAATTTGTTCTCTTGACAGTAGGTGGGTACTTTTTATCATTTAACCAGTCGCTGCTATTTGGTAGTCATGTATGTAATGCGCCGCTAACAGGGCTAACAGGTATATTAAGCTTTTCCCAAATCCCATAAGAAGAAGGGCAATAATGTCTTTTCCCTTTGATGAAATTCACCATATATTCTCTTTATTCTATCTTTAAGTCCTCGATCTCAGGAATCATTGACAACACTGAATATATGGCTCTTTGCTGACTGGCTGGTGCCCGAACTTGCACTTCCAGGGTTTTTGTATTTTGAATCCTGACCTAGTCGCTGCAGAAAAATTAAATTAAGTGGAGGCACTAGGTGGCACCAGTCTGACTAGCTGATACGGGCACTTGTCCTTGTTCTTAATTCATTTCTGTTTGTCCAGCTTCTCATAAAAGGGAACTCTCAATCTCATGGACATGTAAAACGTTAATGGATATTTGTAACCCACTTATTTGCAGTCAAATCAACCATTCTGTGAAGTATCTGGTTTGTACTCCAAACCCACAAATTAAAATAAATAAATAAATAATTAATAGGAATTTTATATGAATTCCGCCTTGCCTTTTTGCTTAATCTCAAGTTTAGTAAGATCTGCTTCAGCTTTGACGTGGCCATTGTCAAGACCTATCAAAAGCAATCAATACCTATTCTTATATTTACCCCATAAAATGTGGGCGGAATTTGAAATCTGACTTTCCTCTGTGTAGAGCTTGTTCCCATTTCAAATCAGAGTACAGAGAACTATTAAAGTACAGCAGAGGCCAAAACTCCAGAGCCTCAGCTTCACAAAGAGTCCAGTCATTTGTTTGTGCTACAAAGGGCTCAGAAACAGAGTCTGAATTGAGAGTCGTTTTGGTCAGGCATTTTAAGAAAACTAGGCCAAAACAATAATGGACAATATAGTAGGAGATGAACTGACCTTGTTGATATGTTCCGGCTGCTAGCTGCAAGCCATCTTCAGAAATCACCGGTCTTTGTGGTGACCATAGACTGTACATGCATTGTAATACCATTTTAAAAGATTTATAAGGGTTGGGCTACATACATACAGTTCCTTTCACCGCATTATTTATTCGTAGAGGTGGGTAAGCAAGTACATAATTTATTTAGTAAAATCCTTTGTCCTTTGTATCACTTAAGTATCATTCATTTCACTTCATTGTGACCATGCCAACCTCCTGGATAAACTTTTCAAATGACTGTACAACCATTGCCATAGCGATTAACAATCTAAATCAAATATTTATATAGTTTGTATGGAAAAAGTCCTCAAATGTTGCGTATACGAGAACGCTGACGCCCATGAATACCCTGTCCAAAGTGCTAGAGGGTTTGTGGAAATTAGTCTTAATCATTCCACTTTTTGTGTGTGTGTGTGTGTGTGTGAATGCAAACCACCAGACCATGCTGTGTTAGAACCATTAAACCAATTCACCAGTCCATTTCAATTCAGCAACTGTTTAACTGTCTACATCTACAATAGTTTGATGTGACAGCAAATTTTAGATATATTCCTTATTCCAATGAGTGCTAACAGTTCAAATCTGTCCCTGCACTTAATGGGTTTAGCACAACTTAAATCATCATTCACAATAAGAACCATATGGCAGAGTCGGATAATGGTCTTTCCTATTGTGGGCTTCACCATTATCTGTGAACTGTCTCCACCAGCCGTTTTTATCTACTGTTCAGCCTCTCCTGCCTTTCAGATGCTCTTCTCTAAATCCTGAACGGAGCCAGGCCTGCGTCAGTGCTTAGTTAGACTTACTCGTGAAGCCAAAAAAGAAAAAAAAAAAAAGAGGGAGCATTACTGATTTGAAGCAGTGTTCATTGCTTTTGGTCTGGTGTAAAAATGCACACGCTTCCTGTTTATGATCTGCTCTGTGATGTTTTGAAAAATAGAATGTGTGTCTTTGGATATTGCAAAAGAAATTGAATTCTGTCAGCTTTTGGAGTGAATATGTCTTATTCTGCCAAGTAGCTTCTATAGTTCTGACAGTGTTCTGGTCACTGGAGTAAACATCTCCCTGAAGGGAGGAGCCGACTACACTAACACTAACACTGTTATTGGTTAAAGATGCACTGCTCATCTTTTCTGGTGGAGGATTTGCTACCTACTTGTCTCCATGGAGATGTTATTGCTTTGCCTGGAATGTTACATGGCATGACTTTAAACATATCCATCTCACAGTTATTAATTACTGGGGTTTTTGTTGCTTAAAAATACAAATAATTCCTTCTGTGAATAAGGGCGGCTCTCCCCAGATCTGAATTGTAATCTAGTAGTAGTATGTTGTCTCCCTTGTGATATAGGTTTAATCTGTACTGTGGAACATTCTAGAAACAGCAATAATATTTCCATGGAGACAAACAGGTGGCGGACCCTATAAGTCTATAAAAATATGAAATATGAAATACCCTAGGACAGATATTTTAGGTGGTGACTTAATACAATCCTGGCAGTTTTGGATAAAGGGTGAAACTATTTTAATTTTCTTGTACAATAGGACCTTCCTGAGAATTTCAGCTTCTGTGGAAATATTGGAATTTTGATTTGGTGAGATATTTCTCTAAAAGTTCTCACAAATTTTGGAGCCCCAAAAGTTTGATAAGGATTTGGACGACACACTCTGACTCCGATAATATAGCGGGGGAGACCACAGGAATCATAAATCATTTCTGCTTTTGTTTGTTGCTTATGTTTGGCTCAGAACTCGGTACATTTGTGGGTCATTGTGATGAAGGGGTGCTTTAGAGCCTCATCTGGACTAATCTTTTTGTTTGGGTTCTAATCCAGCACTATCTGGACCAAATCTAGAAAAGCCGTCCTGTTTTATACCCAAGTCCTGATCTAAATTCACAATAATTACAACAGCAGCTTTGAGGTCAGATGCAGCTTGTACAATGCTCTTTCCCACTGGAGTAGTCTCTTTGTTGTCTCCTTGTAGTCTCGTAGTGTTTTAAAGGGCCCATATTACACTGTTTTCAGATCTATGTTATAATGTTGTTTCCTCATCAAAAACATACCTCAGATGTTTTGTATCATTCACACATGTTTAACACAGAAATCCTGCATATTTAGACTGAGTTCTACACTCAAACGGAAGACACCCTGATCCACCTTGTGATGTCATGGAGTAATACAGGAAGTGCTCCACAGTGTTTTTTGTTTTGTTTTTGCCAATCTCTACTGAACTAAAAGTAAACGGCAGCTGTTACCTTGAAAACTACCGCTTCATGACATCACAAGTTGTAACAGAGCATTTTGAGTTTTGAGATGCAGACAGACTAATAATGCAGGATTTCTCAAACATGTGAATGAAACAATGAAACTTAAAGCTCACAAGAGTCAACTTTACATTAAAACCACAATACCAACAAATCAAAACATAAATAATCATCATCAATTAACATTAAGAGAGAAAAGTGCAGAATGAAAATATCATCACAGGAGGCAAAATCCAGCTGCTTGGCCATTTAGCGAATTTCACTCAGAAAATGCCGTATTTTTATTCTTCTGCATCAAATTCCATGTACTCACCGCCAACTCCATTTTGTGGTGTCCTGCAGCAGATTTAAAATTGATTAAACTAGACGTTGTTATTTTTGTCCAGGTCCAGGCTGCTAATTACTTTGAGCATCAACAGCTCTTTATTAATCACATAATCTATGTCTCTTCTCATTTTTACCTTTTCAGAGCCACAATTTTCCCCTTTTCCTTATTATTCCTAAGTATTTTGTGATTTTACCTAAAAAGATTCTTCCATACTTTATAATTGTTCAGACATATCCATCCAGTCTGCAGTTGTATTCATGTTTAGGGTGTAGATGTTAGACACCGTGTGTGGCTATGCTTGCAGGAAATTGTTGAGAGATTGTTGCAGACAGATAAGGAAGGACAGTAAATATCGGTTTTTAATATTCACAAGTGTCTCAAGTTGAAGTTCAACTGAAGTGAACTGAAGTGAAGACTGCTGCTATACACTAAACTCAAAGGCTTTGTAAAGACTCATTTAGACATCTAGACACATACAGATATGCATAGAGGCTTGTATCCATCCTCTGCGTTGTTTTGTCCATAATCCTTAGAACATGTGGAATCTCAGCAATGGAGCTGTACATGCGCTGACCACTGGGGGCAGTAGTGAACACAGCTCAATGGTGGAAGCTAAACTTTTTTAAACATGACTAGAATCAGTTGTAAAACAAATAAACCTAATAAACTTGGCTCTTTTCCTACAGATGTGATCTAAAACTAGCCGTGGGCACCTTCATGTTTGTTTATCTGTTGCTCTATTTTGTCTATTTTGGTCATAGAAAGTCGTGATGTCGTACTCTCAGATGGGGGAAATTTTTTTTCTAATACTGTATGCTTGAACTCACTGTATTACGATAATTATCTGCATTTTAACTCTCCATCTCCATCTGTTTTGTATCATTGATCTATAAAATATTTTACATTTGGAACCCAGTAATTCTGATGTTTTGTCCATTGTCGTGTGTGCAGGGGTCGGAGGTAATCTGGTGGCGATCCAGGCCAGTAGGATATCCACGTATCTACACTTCTGGAGCATCCCTGGTGTGCTGCCATATCAGATGAGGCAACACTGGCCCAACCCTTTCATCACATTCTTTTCCTCAGGTACACGTATAGACTGTATGAACATCACTAACTCGCTAGCCGCCGCGTTCCAAGTAGGAAGGGAACATGGGTGTGCTTCTGGCTCCAGTTCATTTTCTATTGAAAAACTGTCACATCACTGTAACTGCTGCTGTGAGCCTCATCATTTTGGTCTTAAAGAGACAGTCCAGAATTTTGGACACAAGACCTCATTTCCTAGTTAACCAAAGTGTTGGAGACTTGTAAAGACACGTCACGTTTTAAATATTCCATCCAGTCCTTGTATTTGCTGAGGTCACTGGTGCTAGGCTAGCACATGTCAATGGCCATAGTTAGCCTGCCACTTAAAATAGTCTTACCCACTCCACAAAACACCCGAAGCAAATCTATTATTATGCCAGACTGTCGATGTGAATATCTGTGTTAGTTTTATTTCAAACATTATTCTACTAACCTTGCATTACCTGAATTGTTGCATGTTGAGGGACTATTTTCTCATATGCCAAGCTTTCTATCAGGAAGCACAACTCACTGCTGCTGCTCAGACATAAATCCTTCAAATGCAAGGCTGGTTTTACTTCTAAAATTATTCTATCGACACAGACATTCACATCGACAGTCTGGCGTTGTAATAGATTTGCATCGGGTGCTTTATAGAGTGGTTGAGACTGTTTTTAGTGGCAGGGTAACTATGACCATTGACATGCACTAGCCTAGCACCAGCGACCTCTGCAAATACAAGGACTGGATGGAATATATTAAAAAGTGTCTCCACACGTCTCCAACGCTCTGACTAACTAGGAAATGAAGTCCTATGTCCACAATTCCGGACTGTCCCTTTAAACCCACTCTACATGATCCTGAGGTTTTTAGTTTGCTATCTGGTCCTTAAATAAATTCCTATTCCTAATACGAAACTTGGATCCAAATTCACTCCTATAACAGAGCCTTGTGAGATTCATTTGACTGGAGTGAAACGCTATGGCTGACATCACACTCTCTTAGTCCATTTCTTTGTATAGCCTATGGGTACAAGTCAAGTTCTAAAACAGAAAAATAGGTAGGTGGTGTTACATAAAGGGGTAGGTAGAGTAAAGTTATAAAATACATTTGGGATAATACCTGGTGACATTCAACTAATCCGATTCATTGCCTTTTTCTTGATGAAGCAATCATGGGTACACTTTCCAACGCCCACACCTCTTATCCAGGGGTTCAGAATCATAAAAAATCATTTAATAAGTTAAAACGAGATATTGTATCTGTTGAATGGGAAAAAGTCTTCAATAAATAGTAGGAACTAAAACAGGAAATAAATAACAGGAACTGAAACACATTAATTTATTAGCCTTCTTAAAAGCAATACAAAGCTCTTATGTTCTTTTCATGATGTTGGGACAGTAAAAAAAAAAGCATATTAAACTGTCCCAGTCCAAATCAGGTCAATTTTTTAATGTTGTGTCCTTTTCACAAACAGACCTGGAGCTGGATTTTGTTTAATTTACACATTTAACTCACAAACCCTGGATATTTAGGCTGAGTTCTTCTGTTCAACCTTGTAATATCATGTTCAGTGTTCAATGTTTTCATACATTTTCACTAGAATCATTTGGATAATTTCAGTCTCATAATTGCTAATCTCTACTGAACTAAAGGTTAAAGGTGGCTTCTAACTTGAAAACTGTCACCACAAGACATCAGAGAGCATTTTCAGATTCAGTTTTTGAGGCGGTAACAACATTCTAACATGAATAAACGCTCTCAAGAGTCAGTTCTGTGTAATATACTGTAGGACCTTTAATTCTAGCCTAGCTGACAGTCTCCAAAACTTCTTATTAAGAAAGCCACACAGATGGATAGGATTAAAATATCTCTGCACAGCTCTGCACTTTGGCTGGTTTTCCTTTGTTATATGAATTCTTTTCTAAACACACTTTTGTTTTGTCCCAGGGTTGAACTCAAAGTCTGCGCGGGTGCTGCTGATGCTGGTGGTCCCGGGGCACCTGGTCTTTCTCTATGCCATCTCTCTGCTGCAAGGTGATGAAGCACCCATCTCTCTGGCCTTCGTCATCTGCTACCTGTGTGCTGCTCTCCTCCAGGTAACAAAATGCACATTAAGATATCAACTAGAATTTCAGAAGCAGCTACTTTTATTAAAGGTCCCTATGAATTTTAGCAAAATTTGTATTGCTCCAGTATATAAGCAGCTCTTGGGGTCAAAATATGTGTGCTGCCGTGTCAAAGTCTGATTATCAGGAAGTGCACGTTAGCATGCTGTTTGCTGATAGATTTACAGTGACCCCAGTCTTGTCTCTGAAAGCTGTGAAAAGCAGTTAGAAACTTGTTTTGTTTATAGCCAAAGAAAAATTACATTCTGTCAACTGGACAAAAGTGTTTTTGTTTTGTTTTTTTTGAGTGATGATGTTCTGCAGCTTTTCGCAGCCAAGTAGTTTCTTTATTTCAGGCCAGACATCGTTTTAGTCTAGTTTTAATTCACAAATGTCATGCTTCAGTTATATATTTTTGACTATGATGAATTGCATTGAATTGTTTCTTCAGACTTGTACAGACATGTCCCTTCGACACTGAGTTTGTTCATGGTCTGTTTGGGGCTCTGGGATTGAACAGTAGAACTTAGATCTAGTCTCTACTCGTTCTTTATATTCATTCGTTTAGTTTTTGTCATTTTAACTTTTTGTTCAGTTTTAGTTAGCAAAACTATGATATTGACAACAACTATGAGGAAAATATTTTAATCAATGAAATTACCACAGGTGTCTAGGACTGGGAATCATTAAGAAGTTGCTAATACAGTACATACCTGTGCATAGGCCACGATACAATACATATCTCGATACAGTGCACTTTCGATTTGATATGATATATTTCAAATCGATTCAATAAAAAATAACAGCTAAATCATCGTTGTCATACTTAAAGTCTTTCTTAAACCACTTCTCGTGCAAAGTTCATATAAAACACATACACTTTAATCATCAGAACAGTGAAAATGTCAAATGTGTTGCATAAATGAGTTTCCTTCCACTGAACAAACAACAAAATTGTAGCACTTTAATGAAATAATTTTGTAAAATATACCAAAAAATACTCTTGGCGATATATCGATACAGCAGTCCACGATATCGATACTGTATCATCACTTTAAACAACACGATATATTGATATTTCAGTATTTTTGCCCACCCCTACTGGTGTCACCAAAATGTACTGTTTATATAATTAAAACAATTGCTTCTTCTTACTTATAGTTACAAATTGAATGACACAATTTGCTATAATTGATTAGCATTTTAAAAAATGATTATTAATCATGTTTTTGTATTATATAAACTATATATCAATATATCTATTTCTATTTATCTATTATAGGACACTGGACATCATAAATAATTTAGGAAGTAAGAAAAATAAAACATTAACACATAAACATATTAAAAAATATATATATATATATATATATATATATATATATATATATATATATATATATATATATATATATAATATATATATATAATATATATATAAAATTAAAACAATAATAGTAGTAATTGGTTTGCATTACGAAATGTTTGAAGACTTAAAACGCTTTGAGGCTTGTCTTGATATTTTTACGACAAGTGAAGTGCACATATTTACGTAACACGTGGCCATCATAGTGTTTACTCCATAATCCCATACTTCCTTTAGCTTGTAGCTTTATTCTGACCACTTTTGCAGAAATAGTGACTGGTTGAGTTGTTTTAAATAGCAGTGGTTCTGGTCTCTCCAGTCTGGTGAGATAACGATTAGTTCTAAAAGTGTGGCATTCGCCCACTGAGTATTTAAACACGAGTCAGCTGTAGGAATATGAGAAGATCTGTGAATCATTACAAGCTGTAAACAAAAGATTCTTCAATGAATTATTGCCATTTCACAAACTGTTTATTCTTTGGAGTGAACCTGGAGATCTGGGCAGTACAATATTTAGCAACACTTTTGGCATGTTTTTGGTTTGAAATATGTTTGTGCAGACTTTGTTATACATGGCTGATAATAAGGATAAATGGAGGATCTTAAAATAGAATTTGATAATTTGTTACTGAGAGTGACCTTTAAAGCAGGCCTATTATGCAAAAATTGACTTTTCAGAGTTTTTAACCATGCTACGCTTTCCTCTTACCATTTACTCATATAAATTTGTATTTGGAGTGATTCATGCATGTTTGCGTAATTTTTAATCGCTTATATTCAAGACGCCATATTGGTGATCAACACCTGTTTTCAACTACAACTGCTTTGTACTTTCTTTGCCCAATTTTATTTTCTTAATCGGTGATGCACATAGGATTCAGCAGTGTCATGTTGTCATTTTTGTACAGACGAAAACAAAAAATCCTCTGTTCACCAGCAGGATCTGCAGCTATCCATCAGAGGTGCTGACTTTTTGTTGTGATGACGTTTATGGTGGTCAGTGCACTTGTGTCTTTTATTAAGTCCTCTTAGAGATGTGTGAAAAATCCCTCAGTCATCCAGGTAGAATCCATGACAAATTGCAATTTAAAATGTCCAAAGTACAACAGTCCACGGGTGCCATAGATTATAGCTATAATATAACAGACACAAGCACAATAGGTCCTCTTTAAAATCGGCGAAGGCTACAAAATGTATTGCAATCAAAATCACAATTTGAGTTGGCACAGTTATCAAATTGCAAAGTCTGAAACTAGTTGGACGTCTTAATGTCTTCTAATCATGTAGCTCTATTTTACAGCCTAGGTGCCACAGAGTAATTTCGGGATACCCTTTTTTTTTTAAATATCAGTCCTTTTTTTCTTTGCAGGTGAGCATCCTCCTGTACGTGGCAGACCTGATCGTGCGCATGATGTGGAGGCGCAGTCTGGACCCTGATAACTTCTCCATCCCGTACCTGACCGCTCTGGGGGACCTGCTGGGCACTGGCTTCTTGGCCCTGTGCTTCCACGGCGTGTCCCTCATGCACAGCCTCGGCCTCTGAACACAAACAACAGTATTATTCACACCGCACAGAGATGGACTGCACAATGTTCTGTTCCTATTCACTGGGCCAGTACACTCAACCGTAAAGTGTAGCGTTTTAATCTGAATTCAAGACATTGCACGTACATCAATACATCTCCAGATCTATTTGTTGAGAATGTAAGCCTGGAGTCATTCCTTGTCATCACCCATAATCCAACATCAGTTTTTAGCCAACTATAGCATTCTACCTAGCATCTGGAATCATTCTGAGGCGAGCTGTCACAATTTATGTTTTAGACTTATTTTTGTCTTTGCGGAAAAGTAGAAATGTGATGTTTTGTGAATTATGTGTTCAGGCAATAGCTAGACCATGACAAAGCTAATTATTACTTGATGACTGGAATGAATTTAACTCAGTAGCAAATATTTGAAATTTAAGATTGTCCAGAATCAAAACATCTTACTATTAGTGGGTATGGCGGTGTCTAGCTAATTCAACCTAATAATTGGTGTATGTTAACATGTGTCTTCTCCACTGGCACACACAGTGAAGTGTTTTGTCTAGCAGGTGGTAAAATTACAGCTTGTAGCTATTGAAAAAAAATAACTGAATTTGAAATTGCACTAGTGCTGTTTGTGCAATTTAGTATGTTTGTGGACTATGACTGTGATCATTTTGGTGAAGCAATAATCTGCACAGTGACGTTACCACATAAACTGTACGACATGGATCACCTCAATCCACTTCAAAGCATTTAAAGCTGCACTGCGTAGCATTTCTAGTGGAGGGTACATGACCCGCTTGTCTCCATGGAAATAACGCTTTGTCTAGAACCTGCTTGTTCAGTAGGGCTGAACAATCTTATTGTTTTGGACCGAAAATTGCGACCTCAGACAACATAATTTTGGCAGTATCGAAGCCGCATTTTTTTGCAGTGCTCCTAAAGCCCAATTTTAAGAGCGAAGTTTAGTTCTACGTCGATTCAACGCACAATGCCGCTGTCGCCTTGTCGCTGTCGTCTTTTATTTATGGATCTGCGTCGAGGTCTATGCGCCGCGAAGTAATTCACTACCACAACGCAAGGAGGCTAGGATTTAAACCTGCTGTTCATGTAAAGTTTCACATGAACTATCTCCAACGCGATAGAAGCACAGAACAGACTCACCATCAGCAGCACATCCTCTGTCACAGGAAGAACACTCATATTCCACTGAGTCATGTCCTTTAGTCTGACAGAAGCTGACGCATCAGGGCACAAGGAGCGAGCTGTTTTTTTTTTCTTCAGTGCTTATAGTTTATGCAAATGAGCCGTGTGGTTTTAAGGTTCATTTCTGTTAAACGTAAACAAATGTGCGCAAAAGGTCCAACATCAAATCATCGGACTCTGGTATGATGTAAGTTTCTGTGATTTTTGCAAATGTTCATGTGCATTAAAACTTAATGGATGAAATCGAAATCGCAATATCTGTGAGAAAAATCTTTTTTTTTTAAAATTTTTTTTTATTAAAATCGTTCAGCCCTATTCCACAGTATAGATTACACCTATCTATCACTAGGGAGACAAACAGGTTACAGCACTACGCTACATTACAATTCAGATCTGTGGAGAGGCGCCCCCTATTCACAGAAGGAACTATTGTATTTTTGAGCAATAGAAACACCCGTGATAATAAATTTTAGATGGATATGTTGAGTGTTTTACCACGAAACATTCCAGGCAAAGCACTAACATCCTCATGGAGACAAGTAGGTAGCGGATTCTCCACCAGAAAAGTTGCACTGTGCTGTTTAAAATTTGAAATACATCTTTGTTTCTCAGGCATTGACAATACTGTGATCTGTTTTTTTTTGTTATTGAGTTGCATTACTTGACTAAACAGGACCCAGCCTTACTGTTCATTCAGCTACAATATCTGCACCATAAAGCCTCATCTACTCATTCGAGATTGTTACATATTTGACTGTATCATTAACAGTTGCTGGAGCTTTTGTTTTTGCACTTTGGTTTGAATGGTCATTTTTCATATTTCCTTTCAGTTAATGCTTTTGACACTCTGCTTCTTACAAATTTTCTTACAATCAGGCCTGTCACGATAACAAATTATGAAGTGGGATATATTTCTGAGGTAAATATAGACGATAAACGATAATACTGAAACGAATCTATGCCACTGACACGAAAATCCAAGACCAGATTTAAACCACAAATATTCAAAATCTACAATATTGTTCAAACATATCACAAACTGCAACAAATAAACAGCAGAATGAGACACTTTTAGTACTTAGTTTGCATGAGTAACCTGCTTGTTTCTATGGATATGTCATGTTTCTGCTTAGAATGTTCCACACTATGACATTAAACATTTCTACTTTACATTTATTCAATTACAGGGGGTTTTATAGCTCAAAAATACCTACAAAAACAGGCATTGTGACTGTGAGCGGGGTTGCCTCTCCACAGATCTGACCTGTAACTTGGTCTGACTTGGTCTACATGAAAGTAGAAAGGTTTAATGCCATACTGTGAAACATTCCAGACACAGCAATAACATTTCAATGAAGAAAAAACATTTGCTGGACCCTCCACCAGAAAAGTTACACAATGCACCTTTAAATCTTATAGTACAGCCAGAAAATAGCTCAAAATTTCCCAGTGGTGCAAAGAAAATGAACACACGATAAATTCTGACCCCAAAAATATTGTTCCAGCTTTCATATACTGAATGATAAGTTGATATAGTATTTATCGTGACAGGCCTAGGTACAACCCTAAGACTAAATGTCATGTATGTGATTCTGTGTTTATGTCCTTACAGACTCATCTCACTTCAAGCTTTGTTTTAAAATATGAAGTTTAGGCATTTCTATTGTCCTTCACTGCCATTTGAGTCTGCCATACAGTGTCCTGCTCTTGTTGCAGGTTAAGAGAGCTTCCACAATGATGTAAAAACTAATGTAAGTGCTAATTATGTGTGGTCTCTCAATGTTTGGTATACTGTCATTCTGTGTTTGTGGCATCAAATAATATTTTATTAAAAACCAACCTATTTAAAAGCAGTATTTGTGTGCGGATCCCTGGACTTGATGCTTAACCACTATCTCTAAGTTTTCTGTTCTTATTTAGGATTATTAGTAGATAGATAGATGTTGTCAAGATACTCAAATTATTTTAAACTCAATGTCAATACTAAGGAATAGACTCAATACTCAATACCGATTCCAATACCACTGTTATAACAAAAAAAAAAAACAAGAACAACACTATATTTAGTGACAGTAATTGACTATAATTGTCAACATTAAATTAAACTACTTTCTTTTGTATAACCATGTGGCCTTTTATCTGTGTTCTCCCTCAGTGGTCCAGGTTGGTTCCACAGTGGTCCATGGGTGCATACTAGTCTATTTGCTCTTATACTTTTTGATTCAGCTCAAGATCTTTCTAAAGCTGTTCAGGAAAGGTTGATTTCTGTCCTGTGAATGCAATTTTTTAGTATCAATACCTGCTCAAATTAGTATCTAGTTAAGATACTAGTTTTAGTGTCGATTAATATCAAATGTTTCGATAATTTTGACAATCCTATTAGTAGAGAAAGATCCTGTTCATCCTTTCAATACTTTACATATTCATATGCCATCACCACAAGAGGCCACTAAAGCCCTAAACTGCCTCTTTAAGAACTCATCAGCATTTGTGAATAAAGTATGTTCACAGTACTTTTTAATGATAACTGTGAATACTTTTGTTAACAATTTATTTGTATTTTGGCAGTGACACAACAATTCAGTCATTTTCAACCTCATACAAGTGCATAAAAAATAGCTAAAACTAATGTGGGTATTTTTAAAGGAGCTGTACTTGATTTTTATGGTCTTAAAACATGAAAAACCAAACTAGTTTAATTCTAAGTTGTTTGCAGTTTGTGAGAGCTTTTCAGAACTTTCAGAAACCGGAGCAGAGTTTGTCATCCCAGTGATACTAACAGCAACTAGCATGCTAAGTGTGCACTTCCTGATTATCGGAGAATAAAATGCTTTCTAATTGGATGCAGACAAAACACATCAGACTTATTTTAGCTGCTTACAATATGTATCTGTACAGTACTGGGGCGAGACACATTTTGCCCAAATACACGGACTAAAAAAATCGGGTACACGTCCTTAAAGTTTACAACCGAACTTTGATAGACAAACTATGTAGGTCTGCATGGTTAACCCTTGGATAGCCAGTGTCCGTCCCAACAACGGAGCCTCTGACCCGGGTTAGTGCAGCTCTGAACCGGCCTGACCACAGATATGCCTCTGTTTGTTCAGTGTACAGCCAACTGACCACAGCTAAAATGGGATTACATGGAACGCTTTCATTAGGATCTAACATAGTGTGGCTGCTTATGAGAAATTAAAGACAGAACTAAATGTAATGTTTAAAATATTCTATTGAAAACCACATTCAGAAACAGCGGACTAGTTACCTGCACTGCAAATTTCTCTGATCTGGCCAAAACTTAAATCAGGTTATTCATCTTGTTTTCATCTTTTAATCTTGCATATTTCTAGTCTAGAGATAGTTTATTTTAAGACAACATGTTAAGTAAAATGATCTTGCTACATGGACAGATAATTTCACATTTTCTGATAGTTTTACATGTTTATATCTTACATTCTGGCCAAGCTTTTTTGCAGTTTGACCAGCTCTTCTACATTCTGTTTGAATCCAGAAGGGACTGGAGCCGAAGCATAGAAGGTGAAAAACCTCCGTCCAACCTTGAGTCGACCCAACCACAGTTGCTAATTTGTATCACGTCTCTCAAATTCAGAAGATATCTCCTCTAGAAAATTATCTTAACATTCAGAACAAAATGTATAACTTCAGATGAAGAAAAGAGGCAGAGCGCTTCACTGGGGCATAAAAAAGTACAAAGTAGCAGTACAGGTGCTCTACGAGGGTTAAACTTGTAATCTTAGCAGAATGTTGCCCTCACTAAAAAATGTGAAAGTGGGCAAGGTACAAACCCGAGGCACTTCGAATGAATATATTAGAAGTCCTTTATTACATGTAGGAACGCCAACGTGTTTCGACCAGCAGGATGGTCTTTGTCAAGGCATCACCATTATACTATAACTTTTTTTTATCTGAAATAAGTCATAGTTTGGTGCTTTGGTTGATTATTCTGTAAAAATCTGCACTTTTTCCTCAGTCTTTTATGACGATTTTTCTCCTTTTTTATGTGTAAGCATGTTTGTTTTTGGTGCGAAACATGCTTTTCTCTGATTGGTTAACCTGCCAGTCAATCATGTTCCCTGAAATTGGTTAGACAGGTTAAGGCTCCAGATCCACTCGTCTTTGTAAAGTTTTCTCAAAGCGTGTGGTACTGGCTGGTCAGGTAGGCAGACTACAGCTACACAATATATTGCAAGAGCATATGGTGCATTAAGACCAGCGGTGGAAGGTAACAAAGTGCAAAAGTAAAAGTACAAAATAAGTACAATTTCTATGTATCTGTCATTTGGATACTTTTTTACTTTTACTTCACTACATTTGAGAGCTTGTATCTGTACTTTCTCCTCCACTATATGTTACATCTGGACTGAAAAGTAAAAAGTGCTTTATGGTTTGAGACCTACAGACAAAACTGAGACTTATTGTATTACTTATTTTTAAACTTTTTACTTCCAACTTCCTTTGAACAAAAACACAAATACAGTTAGAAAAATTAAGAAACCAATTGAATTTCTTAAAATCAGCAGAATTTTTTATCAAAATCTCTACAGTTTATGCTTTAATTGTTCTAAAAGTCTCTATTTCTGCACTTTTTCTTCGTCTTTTATGTCGATTTTTCTCCTTTTTTATGTGTAAGCATATTTGTTTCTGACATGGACGAACACGCTTCTCTTTGATTAGTTAATCTTACCTGTTCTCTGAAATTGGGGAGACAGGATGAGGCTCCAGATCCATTTTGTGAAGTTTTGTCAAAGCGTGTGGTACTGGCTGGTCAGGTAGGCAGACTACAGTTACACAATATATTGCAAAAAAGATTAAACTGCATTACTGGCTGACTCATGAATCGATGAAGCAAGAATCAGTGTTGAGTTCTGCATTTTAGAGAAACTTACTCTGTGGGTGCTTATGAGAAATTACACAAAAAACTGACGGTTATGTATAAAATATTCAACTGAAAATCACATCCAGAAACAGCAGACTAGAGCTACACAATATATTGCAAACATACTTGAAACAGCATTATTGGTTGATGTATTAATCAATATCTCAAAGTTCTCCATTTCACTCAGATTTACTGTGTGGGTGCTTATAAGAAATTAGAGACAAAACTGCAGGTAATGTATAAAATATTCTATTGAAAATCACATACAGAAACAGCAGACTAGGGCCACACAAGATATTGCAAAAGTATTGAAACTGCATTATCGACTGACACTATAATCAATATCGCAAAGTTCTCCATTGTACAGAAATGTACTTGTTGTTTTTGTGAAAGTAAAACAGACAAATATAGTTATTGCAATACAAAACAATGATCAAACACCGCATCTTTTTCTCATACCGTGCAGCCCTACAGCAAACCCATGGACTTGTGTGGTATTTGTTACAATCTGCAAAAGACAAAAACAGGTCTCACAAACAAATATTCCTCCCTCATCTGATTGACAACAAGCCCATACAAATAAATACTCAGATACTCGCCACAACATGACATACATAAATAGGAGACAGTAAAGATGGTGAGATGTGGTAGTATTCACAGTCTAGACATTCACCTGTGCGTTCACAAGAGAAGAGCCTGCTTCTCTGGCACTTTGTTAAGGCTTCGAGTGTCTCTGGGCAAAAAAAAGAACAAAAAACTGTAGTGGGCACTGCTTAGGAAAGGCAAAATTAAATGAAAATCAATATGAAAACAAGACATGAGATTTAAAGGCGCATTGTGTAACTTTTGTGATGGAGGTTTCGTCAAATGCTTTTCTCCATGGAGCTGTTATTGCTTCATAATCCGCGTATCATTCGTTCATTTGTTTTTCAATATAAAATTCATTATTTGTCTCCAAAACCAAAATGAAAAAATGGAAACTTTTTTTTTAGTTTTCGATTTAGTTTTTAAACAAATAATGGAAAAAATTGGATACCGTTTACGTGACTTAAAGTGTGATGCTGGACTTTTGTGTTGCATAATGACTGAACCAGGATTAAACCAAGACTAAACCAAGACTAAACCAGGACTAAACCAGGACTAAAGCAGGACTAAACCAGGACTTTGGGTTTGGAGGCAAATAATGAAGAAAACCATTGTTTTTGTTTAGTTTAGTTTAGTTTTCTTACTTTCAGTTTTATATTGAAAAATGAATGAACGAATGATGCACGGATTCTTCATCTATGGCATTAAACATTTCTATCTTCATGGAGACCAAACCAGACCAAGTTACACGTCAGATCTGTGGAGAGGCGATCCATCTCACAATCAGAATGCCAGTTTATAGAGCTACAAAACCATGTAATGTAATAAATGTAAGGCAGTGCTGTTTAATATCATACTTTGGAACATTCCGGGCAGAGCAATGACCTAAAGAAACAAGCGGGTGACGGACCCACCACCAGAAAAGTTACACAATGCGCCTTTAACGCAAAATCAAATGAAAATGCAATGTGAAAAACAAGACATGACATTTAAAATCAAACAAATGTGTGAACCTGCAGGACAGGGCTGGGCTATGGTAGAAGTTTGGAGTCTCAAATCGCTTCGCGGTAACACTGTATTTCACAACTTGCCAGGGACTTTTGTTAGTTTGTTTGTTCCACTCGCAATAACAGTTGAGCTCTCTCCTCACCACAACAGAGCGCCACATTGAGAGCAGATATCTGTTTTCAACTCTACTGTCCGAAGTCCTCTTTAGACTACTCTTTCCCCGTCTCAGAAAATACAATGGTACAAAGCACAAAGGTGGAGAAGGGAAAGTCAGGTCTAACTCTCATTCTTTCAGACCATTCATTGTATTGTGTTTCTTTAGAAGTACAAATGATATGATATGGATTTTTTGAGCTGATGCCAATAACTGATATTTGCAGATACTCATTAAGCTTTTAAAATCAAGGCAAAAACCAAATTTATGTTGAGTTACAGTGACGTTTACAAATTAACTTTTCATTTATGTAAAAACGATAACGAAATGAATTTAATAAAGTCATGTTTTTGCTCATCAATTACCAAATATTTGAAAAATTTCCATCGAAACATCGAAACGATACTGATATCTGGAGAAAGCAAATACTTTTACTGTTTCATTCGGTTATTTATTGACTACAGCTCATGCTTTTTTAACAATATTGTGCATTCAGAATATTTAGGGAGTAACTCTGCTTGAGGGGGATTGCGTCAGTGGCATAAATTAGTTTCAGTATAGTTTTTAGTCTATGTTTTCTTCATCAGAGGTCTATGCAGGGGGAATTTCCAGCACGCTATTAATAAATGTTATGTTTATTATTACGGCTTCCTTGCGTGATTAGCATAAATTACGTGAATACCAATTATGGAAAATATTTCATTCAGTTTCATGCCCAGCCCTTTTCTGGGTGTTAACAAGTGACACATTTTGCTGTAATTTTAGCTTGTGAGTAAAATGGTACAAGAGAAATTATCACATCCACAGCAAACAAATTGTGCTTGAAGAGGTACGCAAAGGCTAACCTCAGAATAAATGTCTAACAATCTACATCTGAACTGTATATAAATTAAGATCAGTGGTGGAAAGTAATGAAGTACAAAAGTAAAAGCACAAAATAAGTACAATTTCTATGTATCTGTCATTTGGAAACGTTTGTACTTTTACTTTACTACATTTGAGAGCATGTTGTACTTTCTACTCCACTATATGTTATATCTGGACTAAAAAGTAAAAAGTACTTTAAGGTTTGAGACCTGCAGACAAAACTGAGACTTATTTTATTACTTATTTTTAGATTTTTTACTTCCAACTTTGAGCAAGTACACAAAAAATACTTAAAATCAGCTGAATTCTTTATCAAAATCTCTACATTTTATGCTTTAATTGTTCTAAAAATCTCTTCAAAATACTTACTGTTTACTCTTTAAGTACATTTTTGAACACGTACTTCAATACTTTTACTTAAGTAGATTTTTCATGTGATGCTTTTTCATGTAATCATTTGTCCCTGGATCTGTACTTGTACTTGAGTAACTAAATCGAGTACTTCTTCCACCGCTGATTAAGACATACACATTTAAGCAACAAAGTGTGTGAATGCTGTGTCCCACGGTAAAACGAGAAAAGAAAATGATGCAAAAACATAACACAAAGTACATCACACTTGCAGTTTTAAAACCCTGTTACTGCATTTGACCAACATCTTTTTTAAAAATGGCTCCACTAAAAGAAGATCAGTCTGTAACAGCAGATAAAAAGTCTGTGACAACAAAAATAGTGCAACATTTGAATCCATCATGTTCATGTTTTCTCCCTCATCTAGTTCTGAGATACCCGGGAGTGGAGTAATTAAAAAGGAGATAGTCCATGCGATACAGGTTAAAGAGTTTCTTTTGGTAGAAGGGGTTGATGTGCTGGAAGAATCCGGCAGCCATGTTTCCATCAGTTATGGTGCTCTTTTGGGAAGTGGGGAATTGGATTGTCTGATCAACTCCCACCAGTTTTAACACAGCCTGGGCATCTGGCTCTAAAGTCTCGTACTTTCCTACCACATCATAGTGAATCAAACATGGGTGGCAAAGAGAGTGCACCCGCTCCCAGTGCTCATTAAAAGAGTCCTCCCTCTGCGTTCTTGGGTCCACGAGATACTGCACAAACTCTAAAAACGAAACGTCATTCCCCTTCTCCAGAGCTTCGGGTTTGGGGTTGGGTCTGTGGCGGCGGATGATTTTGGTGCCGTAGCGTTTGTGGAAAGCTGTGTTGTAACTGCGGGTGAACTTGTTGCGGTAGGCGGACACCAGGCGCTCGAAAGGCTCACGCACGAACAGGAATTTGAGGTAGGAGCGGAGGCGCTGGTTGATCTCGGAGACGCTGAGATCGGACATGCGGCGAAGGTTTCCGGGCACGTGGGCTTCGCTGGCCGGGATGGACAGAGGGTCTGTGTAGAGGCCATTACTGCTCAGGACCATCAAGACACGCTTCCAGTTTGTGCACGCAACCTGTAGAGGAGCAGAAACACATGTTAGAGAAGCTGTAGGGGTGGGTTGGGGACACGGGGAGAATCAGGTTACATTAACACTGAAACAAATCACCATATTACTGGATCGGAAAAGGTTTGCATCCAGACTCGTCATTTCTGTGTCTGCAATCAAAGCCTTCCCTATCCACACAGTAACATAAAACAGCCTGAAATGCTAGTCACATGACTAAGCTGGCGTTACAACATCTCCTGGGGGGTAAAAACAAGGGAGTGGAGCACCGTGTCTGAAGTTTCAGTAGCCGATTTCGAGCCAAGGAAGATAGCAAGCTTGAAAAGTCTTTTTGTGGACCGACCACGAGGTTCAGTTGTTACTGATCGTAACACTGGATTTTAAGATTGGATTGTTTAAACTGTTTTCCGCAATAGCGTCACATGACTGATGTCACGAACCCAGCGAATCAGGAAGGCACAAGTCACAGTGACATGGTCCAATAAGGATGCAACTAGAGCTCCTACGTCAGCGTATCAACGTTTTCAGGTGTCCACACTGTGCTGGATCAGATCCATACTCAGATGAATTCATGGGAGTTGGCGGTACAAGATTGTTCCGTCTCTGGAGCCGTTTTCCATCGGATGAGTGTGGGCAAACACTGCATCCACAACAAAAACGACTCAAATACGTACTAGTGTGGATGGGGCCTCAGAGGCCGTGAGATGAGATAAAGCTCCCATAAAACATGATAAGGTATGAGATTAGAACCACAATCATAATCTGTTCATAATTTTGGCCTCACCATTTTTTATTTATTTTATATTTTACTGTCATTGTAGCACCGCCTTTGTCTCAACAGATGTAACTCACCAGGGCTTAACTCTTTTTGTTCAGTTCAAGAGTAAAGACATGGAGAATAAATCTCACAAGATAATTTTCCTCATGTGTGCATAATCTTTTATCTCATAAGATTTTGTCTGAACCTATTTGATATTTGAAATACACACATGTCACATCCATTTTCATATAGCCATATCTTCTAACTATTATGTACAAAAGGGAAAGGTTAATTTATGAAAATAACTACATCTTTGCTCCAATTTGTGATGTTTAACTATTGCTGTCGATATTGAAAAAATCTTATGTTATTGGCCATAACAACAAGGAAAATACTTGAACACCCTGAGAAGCTGGTTTACTCTACTGTCCCTCATAATTTTATACAATGGTATACACACTTAAAAATTGTCATTAGGAATACATAAACAGCCATTTTATGAAATATGACTTTAGCAGATCTTTCCAAACACTGACTGAGCAATGAGCAGCTCAGTGATGTATGATGGAGAAATGATTTGGGTCATTTGCTCTATGACTCTGACCAACGATTTGCAGATGATGTAAGTTTTAAGTTCCACATTCCAAGGTTGTGAGTTTTGTTCACTGACAAAGGCAATACAGTTTTCATGATACAGTTAGTTCATATAGTACCAAACATTACTTCACATAGGGAGTCTTGATGCGCAGTTCTCCTATTTCAACTTTCTACGAACCTTCACCACTCCTTGATGACAGCTATTTCCGGACAGATATTTAAGGAGCCTTATAGAAAAGCCATTAAGCCAACATATTTGTTCTATATCCATGGAAACCGCGTTTGCATTGGCTGGTTTTGGAAGAGCCCAAACGTTCACCTGGCCTGAACTCACCTTGGGTACATAGCAGTATATAAGGCTGTGTTTGTCATCCACAATGAGGTGTTTGAGATCGCCGGGGGAGAGCACGCGCCGTTTTTTGGTATGGCTCAGACACGCCTGCTCCAGAAGCTCCCGACGCCCTTGGAGAGACCTTTGAGCAGTCAGCATCTCCGACTACACAGGGAAAAAGCAGGCAGTATAAACAAAATATGAGATCACAAATATTGCAGTGATAAACAATTCATTATCTAGACCACAGGTGTCAAACATAAGGCCCGGGGGCCAGATCCAGCCCTCCAAGACCTTGAATGTGGCCCTTGGCTGATTTTCTACTAAAATATTTTAATTATATTTTCAATTAAAATATTGGTCATTTTCTGCGGTGTTTATCACAGCAGCGTCTCCAGCGTCTCTGTGCTTGAGAAAAGTGGAGCCGAGTGCAGGATTTTCCAAGAAAAATTTACTTATTCCTATTTACATACAAGTTCATGTTAAAACATTGTGTTGAAATTTCTTCAAGTTTCAGGTTGTTCATAAAATTATAATATTTTGTAAAAGAAAGAGTTCATCAATAAAAAAAAAAAAGTGTAATAGATTTGCGTTTCTCTGCACAAATATTTGAACTTATTGTTTTTGGGGTTTATATGCCATGAGTTTTTTGATCCGGCCCCTTTGGATGAAAGTAGGTTGGATACGGCCCCCAGACGAAAATGAGTTTGACACCCCTGGTCTAGACTATAAGCCCTGTTCACGGAGACCACTTGCTAGTTTCGGTTTCTTCAAAAACTGCAGATCCACACTTCCTGTCCCATTCACTGTGTACTCGAATTAGCTAAAGTCGTGCTAAAATAAATCTATATTTAAATATGAGGCAGATGACAGGAAATTACATATGCATAATCACAGACGGCGTGTTAAGAGCAGTATAAACACAAGAATGAGATCACATACATTTCATCTCGGCTAACATAAAGCATTCATTATCTGGACTATACAGACTCTGGTGAAGGGCCTGCACCTGATTCCAAATCATCAGTGGTGGAAAGTAATGAAGTACAAAAGTGAAAGTACAGTTTTTAGGTGTCGGTACTTTAGTTAAACAGCTCTAACTTACATTTATTCAATTACAGCTAAATTTATAGCTTGAAAATACCTAGAAAAACAGGCATGATGATAGTGAGTGGGGTCGCCTCTCCACATATCTGACTTGTAACTTGGTCTGGTTTGGTCTCTACATGATGATAGAAAGGTTTAATGCCATACTGTGAAACATAACAGACAAAGCAATAACATCTCCTTAGAAAAAAAGGATTTGGCGGACCCTCCACAAGAAAATTTACACAGTGCATTTCATGTAGAGACCAAACCAGACCAAGTTACAGGTCAGATCTGTGGAGAGGCAACCCCACTCACAGTCACCATACCTGTTTTTCTAAGTATTTTAAAGCTATAACCAGCTGTAATTGAATAAATGTAAGGTAGAGCTGTTTAATGTCATACTATGGAACATTCCAGGCAGAGAAATGACATCTCCACAGAAACAAACAGGGGATACTTTTATTGTTACTTCATTACATTTGAGACCATGTATCCCAACTTTCTACTCAAGGACATTTTATATCTGGACAAAAAAAACAAAAAAAAAACAGGTACTTTTCTGTATGGTTTGGGACCTACAGAAAAGACTGAGATTTATTTTTAATTTGTGTTAACATGCAAACCGAAAAACAGAAAAAAGTAAGAAATAAAATGAATCACTTAAAATAAGATCTTTATCAATATCTCTACATTTAATGCTTTAACTGTTCTAAAAAATATCTACAAAATACTTTTACTTTTTACTTTTAAAGTAAATTTTTTAACAAGTGCTTCAATATAGTTATACTTAAATAGATTTTTTCATGTGATACTTTTACTTTTACTTGAGTAATCTTTTGCCCCTGGATCTGTAATTTTATTTAAGTAACACAATTCAGTACTGCAAACAGTACACTCAGTACTGCAAACCATGAATTAGGAACATGTTTTAGTTTGTACTCTTAAGTCCACCCATTTTCTGCTGATGCACTGAGATTGCATCATGACAGAAAAAACTGTCAAGGCTAGTGCACTTGTTTCCTTAAAGTTCCATAGTCTCTGTTTAGTATTAGGTTTCTTCTGTCACTTTTATGAATGCGCCACCAAGTGTCTGGGAAAGTGTCAGGCAGTTGGTTTCCCATGATTCTTAGCAATAATGTTCCTGATTGGACAAAAAGCGGACCTAGCATCTGTATTAGTTGTTACTTATTTAGCAGCATGTCTCATACAATGCATTTATCTTTGTAAAAATACATCATAAAATCAGGCACAGGCAAGAAATTAAACATTACAATTACAATCTGATTATAATCAATTACATACTACATACAATTGCAGGTATTATAGTTTGGTTTGACTGTGCTCTATGACATGAAAAACAAATGATTAAAAAAAACAAACTTCAACAACAAACAACAACAAAGAACATTTTAATAACTTCAATGAGACAGTTTTTTTTTTTTTAATGACTAACAACTGTTACCTATTATCGGAAATCCCACAACTTGCTCAAACACGCAGGAGCACACACTCATTACTGTTGTCATATTTATGGTAATATGAAACAAGAACATATTGTGTTTTTGTTACTTAAGTGTGTATGTATAAATAACTCACCTGATCTCCATTGTACAGAGTCTGGAGTGGACTCCTTCGGCTTTTCCCCGCAAGCCTTTTGTTGGTTTTAACACCAGCATCTGTAGGAGAAGAGAAAAGGGTTCAGATGGGACAAGATAAGATAAGATGTGACATTAACGTTCAGCAGGCCTGTCTGAGTGTATGCAGGCTCATGATTTAGGGATCCATTTTGTCCTCAGGAAGTCCACAGAATGGTCAGAATGAGAAACACATTTTACTATGTGTCATGTGTTTTGTGTGCAGCTTAAATTACACTGTAAAGATGACCGTACAGAGTTATAGGCGAGTGAAGTGAGCGCCAACTTTCCGAGTCTGCCCTGCCTCTCAGTCTGACGGCCCTCCTCCTCTCATTATAGACTCCATAAGAACACTGTGTTCCTGCTCAGCTCTATCTGGGACTGCTCACAAACTCCAGAGGCTTCAGTGACTGTGACACCAAATGTATGCTTCTCCATATGGAACACTGGTTACAATGAGCACTATGAGCTGTCAGCAGAGACCAGAGCCCACTCTTAATGCCATGAATGAAGTGTCACCTCGGTGCATCCTAAGATGAGCTTTTGTGCCTTGCCTTGGACCAAATGTAAAGGCTGTCTCTTCACAATTTCTGCTGCTATGAGCTCACACTTTTCATGGAACATATACTTGTACAATTTCAGAAATACCTGTACCTAACTTACCTTCAGTAACTAAATATAACCTACTTGCTAACTGATTTACTTTTCAATGTGTATCCCACCAAAGTAACTTAATTATTTGCTTCTAATTCCAGCATGCATGAGATATTCCACAGTTGCCCTCCTACCTAAGTCCCTGAGCACATCTGTTCTCATGTTACACAGCACCGCTCCATCACTCCCCTGACCCTTTTGAAAATATCTGGTACCAGGAAATGCACCTCCAGCTGTCTTTATCTTCCACATGGAAGGAGAAAAGGGGAGGGAGCTGATGGGAATGTCCATGATCTGTCCAGCCTCCAAATGACGCTTATAGAATGTGGGAGCACACGTTTGACTCATATGGAAAGCATATCATAGCAGTAAAAGGCCAGGCCAAAGGGTACAGCCTGAAGTATGTGATCCAGACATGACGGTGTCTGCAGATTTACATAAAACAAACAAGCAGGAAATGCATCACAGTAGACAGCCTTTGTGTAAGACTTTTATTCCATTGCCTTTATATTTTGTGTCAGGCGTGGGCGGTGAACTGGCCACACTGTGACCGCATGCCCTTCCAATTGTAACTACATAAACTGCACTGTGCCAGTTGTAGGGCTATCATCAACAAAATACATTTTTGGTCAACTAAAGACATGTCCTACTAATCGATTAGTCGTCTTAAAGGGGGCGTGCCAAAAGCTCTCAAACTATTATCTCTATGTCTCTGGTCCGATCCGACCACACTAAGACTGTATTTGATTTGAGTACATGCAAAAACAGCTGGAAAGAACTAGGAAAAGGTGTATTTATATGGAAAAGGCAGATTAAACACTGGATTCACTCCCACTCTCTACCTACTCCTTTCTTCTGATGTGCAAATAATTCCTTATAATCTAAATAAATGATTTGTCCAAGTCAACAAAGACACGCTCAACCGAATAATCAACCAACAACTGCAGCCCTGGGAGTGTCTTGCATAGAGAAACAATAGAGTTTGAACCAGCAACCTAAAGATTTGTGGGAAAACACTGATGCCTTACTTACTCTCAATTGAATAAAATGTTAAACTTTTAAAAATGACACAATAAAGCCCTTCCACAGTTATATTTGTGACTCTTCTGGTGGTTGCATTACTCACTGCAATATGAAGTGCAAGGTTTATGATAATTATAACATTGACGTGCCCAACCCCTTTGGGCAGCAATAGAACATTAGTTTATCAAAATGTTAGTAATCAAACTCTGAACCACATCTGCCTCCTTTAATTAGGAATAATCCAGGCACAAAATGGAGGAACAAGCACACGCAGTACTGGTGACTAAGCAAAACCAGTACTGTCTTCTGTCTGCGGTGCCCAAACATGACAAGGCAAAGTCTCCAACTCCCTCAGAATGATCCATTTCAGTTTCTTTTCAATCTGTAATTAATTAAAAGGTATTATTTATGTTGTCAAAAGAAGCAATATCCAGATAGTACTCCGTATTAAACTTATTTGATCATAATCAAGACAAAATTGGAGCTTTCTTGAGATGTTTGAAAATAGTCTTGAGCTATAACAGACTTTTTTTTAACACACGTTGAAAATGTAGACGTTTAGAAAGATGAGATTACAACTTCCGTCAGGCTCTATTCGCAGTAGTAACTGACAAAATCTAGGAAAAATGAGAAAATGGCCCATTTTTCTTCATCTTCATGTCAGTGTAGCGTTCCATTATGTTCGGCTAATCAATAATTCCAACCATATCTCAGTTTTCATCATTTCCCCACTGACACACAACTCCGAGCGCACTGGGTACATGAGATTAGAAGAGATGAGGGCGCCAAACTCAAGATGATATTAAACAGCACATATGTATGCAGTCTTCATTTTACCGTTGATTATGATCACATTTACTTCAACTGGTTTGATCACAGTCGGTCGGCGAACCCAGTGTCAGTAACTACACCAGAAGTTGTAATCGCATCTTTCCAGACGTCTTCCTGGTTTGTGACATAAGCGTGAATAGAGTAAGTTACACACTGAACCAACATGATGTATTTTAGCAAAAGATAAAAATACTGATCATCTCTCTTTAGTATACGTTTCTCATCATACTTCCTCATTCAATTACTGCCATACGCAATTGTCAAGGTAATTTAAAAAGTATCTGACTGTATGGAGTACAAGTACCACACTAATGTAAAAATGTGCATTTATTTCTTTCATGTACTTATTATTTTTTCTTTTTTTCTTTTCTTTCTGGTGCCAGAGACATCAAACTACAGCCGACCCAAACTATAGACACATATCTGGCTTAAAAGGCATTCTTGGTTCAATGGAAAATAATGAATGGGGAATCTAAGACCATGATAAACACAACTGTATTTGCCGGCTGAAAGCCCAAAGCAAACTCTGTAAAGCCTCTACAGGAAGCATGAGGTCATGCAAGAAAGCAGGCTTAGTTCATTTTAATGTAATTTGGAGAAAAATTGAGAAACGACTTTTGAAGCTACCTGTGGCGTGATTGTGAATACTGCAAACGTGGATAAAAGTGCACGAGGATGTGGGTGGTCTGTATTTGTGTAAAGTTGCGTGCACAGTTGGTTTATAAACCCAAACAGAGCATCAAACAGGGATTTACTCCTCAGACTCAAAGAGGCTTCCACCACTAACGGATGTTCTACTGGCATGGGTTCTGTGGCTTCTCTTGGCCAATGTTTAGCAGAGGTGTAGAGTCACTTGGTTTTTTTGTAATAACATGCTCTTATATTCATATGTTTGTCCTTTTTTTTTTTTTTTGTATTGGAGCAAACTTTACCTGACTAACACCAGATTGATATGTGTAGTTCTCTGAATTGTCAACCCATCACTCTCCCCTTTAATCCTCCAGAATGTGCCCCTCATGCCACGCACTCTCCCCTTAAGTCCTCCAGACCCAATCCCTCCTCCTCCCACAATCTCCCCTTTAGTCCTTCAGACTCCGTCTCCCCGCCCGTTTAGCGCTCCAGACTTAGACAAACTTTATTGATCCACAAGGGAAATTATTTGGACGCAGTAGCTCACACATCACAATATAATATAATAACAACGAGCAAAAATATAAATGGTAAATAAATTCTAAATAAGTAGTAAAAAAGATAGCAAGAGCCAGGTGAGAAATAAGATGTAATTATATAAATGTAAATGTGCAAGGCAAAATAAAATAAACATATGTAATAAAATATAAAAGAAAGACCCAGCCCCTTCTCCTCCCTCACTCTCCCCTTTAGTCCTCCAGATACTTTTAATCCTTCCGATACTGCCAACTTTAACAGTTGCCCAACTGGACTGTGGTTGTGGGCAGAGTTTAGGTGTTTAATACCACTTTAAGTATGTAAGCAACATACGTATGCATACCATATTTTTCGGACTATAAGTCGCACTTTTTTTTCATAGTTTGGGTGGTCCTGCAACTTATACTCCGGTGCAACTTATATATTATAATTTTCACACTGACAGCCTTGAGAGGGCGCTCTAGGCTTGTGTGTCAGTATCTACTACAAATGTACTGCTGCATACTGCTGTTACTTCATCCTCTACTGCACATATCTCCTGCATAATAAACTGCTGTCCTGCTGCAAGTAGTGAAATATGCAGCAGAAAACGGTAATCAAGCAGCAGAAAGAAAGATTCGAGTGAACGAGAAACTTGTGAGGGACTGGTGAAAGGTGGGGATGGAGAACAGAGTTTCACGGCAACCGTCCGAGTGCACCATGCAACTTTCCTGGAAGTCATTGGATGCATCGACAAAGCCTGGACTTCAGTGACAACCGTAACCATCCTGTCACGATTCAGAAAGGCTGGAATAATTCTAACTGGAACTGATGCTGAGTCTGATGACAGATACGCAGAAGAGAAAGGAACGCTCTGTTTACCTCATGGATCTATGGTTTACCTCCGGAGGTCGTGATGTTGCTCAGAAATGACACCAAGGATGAAGAATTCAATGGATTTAGTGATTTGGAGTGAGATCGAGAGTTTGGTAAACTTGTTATGTTCTGTTGTTTATGCTCTAATTATCTGAATAACTGTTCATATGTTATGTTAACATACCACATGCCTATTCCCCCTGTTGTTCTCTAATCTATTGTTATTACTTTAACTTGCCTGTCAAGATGAAAAGTTGGTTCCTGGTCTCTTATTTTATAAAACAAATTTCCCCCAAAAAGTGCAAATTATATATGTTTTTTTCTTCTTCATCACACATTCTTTGACTGGTGTGACTTATACTCCGGAGTGACTTATAGTCCGAAAAATACTGTATATAGTATAGTGTATAGAAGACGGAGACACTGAAGATGAGAAGCACAGTGTTTTCCCATAGAAATGAGCTGTTATATTTGAGTATGACAGAAAATAATAAAAGAACTTGCGTATCTGT